GCGCCACCATGCCCAGCAAATTTTTTGTATTTTTAGCAGAGATGGGGTTTCACCATGTTGACCAGGATGGTCTCGATCTCTTGACCTCGTGACTTACCCGCCTCAGCCTCCCAAAGTGCTGGGATTACAGGCGTGAGCCACCGCGCCAGGCCTGCGCTCAGCTTTAAAAGGTATTTCTTTTTTTATTTTTTAAGACAGGGTTTCACCATGTTGGTCAGGCTGGTCTTGAACTTCCGACCTCAGGTGATCCGCCCGCCTTGGCCTCCAAAGTGCTTGGATTACAGGCGTGAGCCACCACGCCCGGCCTAAAGTGAAAAGATTTTTAAGAATACAGCGTTATGTAACTATTTGAGTACAAGCATGTGGACACTCCCACCACATCCTGACCTTGCCAAGATCCAATTTCCCATACACAAACACGGTCCTATACAGGGCAGGCAGAAATGCAGACTTCATGCACATGACCCTGATTCTCTAGGGACAGGACTGAGTAGGTTACAAGTACCTGCTAACAAGTATTCTCTCTAGAAGAGTTCAACTTGCCAGACAGGATTACTGCTGCCACTCCCTCAAACATCCCTTTAAAAGGCTGTCTTTCAGCAAAGGAGGATGGGCCATATCAGGGAGAACCTTACAGGTGGGCTGATGGACAGTCTTCAGAGCCTGGGCTTTGCCAGTTTATCCTGTCCTGTGTTGGGAACACCCTCTACTTCACCTATAGGAAGCTAGCAAGAGACACAGGCCATGTGGTCTGACCTGGGTCCATCTTCCCCGAGACCCCCAACCTCTGGAGGGGCCTTTGTCTCTCAGATTCACACAAGTTAATAGTTCACAAACACCTCTCCCCACCTCAGCACATGTGAAGGCCATGGCACACTCTCACTAGTAGCCACAATTCACTATTATAGTAGCAAGGAGCAGGGCGTGGTGGCTCATGCCTGTAATCCCAGCACTTTGGGGGGCTGAGAGGGGCACATTACTTGAGCTCAGGAGTTGGAGACCAGCCTGGCCAACATAGTGAAACCCTCTCTCTACTAAAAATACAAAAATTAGCTGGGGATGGTGGTGCGCACCTGTAATTGCAGCTACTCGGGTGGCTGAGGCAGGAGAATCACTTACACCCAAGAAGCGGAGGTTGCAGTGAGCCGAGATCGCACCATTGCACTTCAGTCTGGGCGACAGAGCAAGACGACATTAAAAAAAAAAAAAAAAAAATAGTAGCAAGGGAGCTGAGGAATGTAGTTTGAAAAAGTCCCTTGGTTGAAATCACTGTTCTAAAGGGCCAAGGAGATTTTATTTCTACATCATTAGTTTTTTTCTGAGTACAACACAAAGAAACTGCTAGGAAAAGCAAAACAAGAGTTTTAACACTCTTGTCAACCAACTAACATCGAATGAGAACAGAAGACACGGGAGGGGAGCAGCTGACAGAAGACTGCCCTCTCACCTCACCAGCTCCAGAGGGAGAGCCTCTATAAGGGATTTCAAAAACAACTTTTCCATTCAGAAAAATCTCATGTCCATATCCCAGAGAGCCAAATGCCTCGTGACACAAGACTTGCTGAATGTCTGTCTTGTGCCCTGGCTCCAGAGCATCCGTTCTCCAACTCAGGACCCAGCATCCTAACATTCTCCCTCTCCTCCTCTCCTCTGGCCTCACACAAGAGATCAATGGCTAATCAGTCATGAGACTTCACCTCTCCCACTGACACGTGAAACTTCAATAACCAGCCGAGGCAGCCTCGAAGTGAGGCTGCTCTTGGTGAAATCGGAATACAGGCATGCCTGCATGGACAACTCCCTGCTGCCACAGGCAGGCAGGTCTCTTCTGAATTTATAAGAGCAATTCCTGAGCCCAGGGCCTGCAGTGTTGGGGCTCTGACAATTATAGGTGTGCCAATCCTAGTTCCCAGATCCTAAATTTGGTGCTTTTAAAAAATTCCCATGCAACGGGGATTAAACCAGCTTTCAATTGGCCCTGGAATATGGAAGGAAGGTTGGTATTTAAACTGAGAATTTTCTCTAAGCCCAGTGAAGCTGTTGATAACTCTGGCATGTCTTTCCCTAAATCAGGTCTCAGAAAACCTGCCGATCTCTAGAGAAAACCTCAAAGCTGCATTCAATGAGATAACTACAGAAACCAAGATGGGTGCCAGAACTGCTCCCAGCCGATGCACGTAACAGGGAGCCTGACTCATTTTACTGTGTGGCCCTCTAGTGTTAGCAAAAAGGTGAGAGATACCCTCTTTAGCCTTTGGAGAGAAAAGAGGGATCTGTTATTACTCTGCAGAATTAACTCTGTCACAGGAGTCAGATGTGAACTTAGGACACAGGGCCCTTCTTTCCCTCCTTCCTTTTTTTTTTTGAGACGGAGTTTTGCTCGTTACCCAGGCTGGAGTGCAATGGTGCGATCTCGGCTCACCGCAACCTCCGCCTCCCGGGTTCAGGCAATTCTCCCGCCCCAGCCTCCTGAGTCGCTGGGATTACAGGCATGCGCCACCATGCCCAGCAAATTTTTTGTATTTTTAGTAGAGACGGGGTTTCACCATGTTGACCAGGATGGTCTCGATCTCTTGACCTCGTGATCCACCCGCCTCGGCCTCCCAGTGCTGGGATTACAGGCTTGAGCCACTGCGCCCGGCCCTCTTTCCTTTCTTTTTGAGACACAATCTCACTCTGTCACCCAGGCTGGAGTGCAGTGGGTGCAATCTCCGCTCACTGCAACCTCTGCCTCCCAGGTTCAAGTGATTCTTCTGCCTCAGCTTTCCAAGACGCTGGGACTACAGGTGTACACCACCATGCCCAGCTAATTTTTTTGTTTTTAGTACAGACAGGGTTTCACCATGTTGGCCAGGCTGGTCTCGAACTCCTGACCTCATCCTCCCAAAGTGCTGGGATAACAGGCGTGAATCATAAGTTCCTGACTCTTCTTTCCCGTTCTAATGTTTTGTGAAGCCATTTACCATGCTTTGATTGCAAGGAGGGAACTTAGGTGGTAGACTGGGTGAAAAAAGCCATGGGGGTACCTAGGTTTGCCCCTCAACCCCATCCCTCGACTCAGCATACTTCAGCTGAAAGGTCACAACCTGATCTTGGCCAGATCTGGATTCCCAGATCACTGCTCCTCTCAATAAGGCAAAGGAAGAAGAAACATTCACAAGGCCTCCGTAGATACTTTCTAAGCCTTGGCATCATGTGAATATTATGTCTTGTGTGGGCTACACTGGGAATTGGGGCAGGGCAGGTCACTGCTTCTCATGCCTCTGTTTTGCTTGTGCTATTGCCTCTGCTTGGAAAGCTAGCCCCCTAGGGAAGCTTTAAGGCTCATTCAAATGTCATTTCCTCGATGAAGCTTTCTCCTATAGCTGCACTTGCCCAGGCCACATCAGGTGTGTCTCCTCCTCTGAAGTTTCAAGCACCCTGATATGGAGCTCATCACTTTATCTACTTGCCTTTCTATCTCCTCCACCAGACATGAGTGCTGTAAGGGCTGAGATAATGTCTTATCTTTTTCTCCCGATGCCTAGTGTAGTATTCCTATAAATGCTTATGGAGTCATGGGAGGTGAAAAGGAAGGGCAATGGGATTCTGCCAGAATCAAGTAGCTCTTGGAGGTGAAAATCTGTGGGGGCTTAAATTTAGGCACAAAACCCAAGAGCACACAGCTGTCAGTAAAGTGATAAAACTTCAGTTCCAATGAATGAACTTCCAAAGGCCGACCCGCCCTCCCATAGGTCAGGATGTATTCCTTGGGCATAACAGGCTCAGACACACGTCCTGCTCAGCCTCTGCACTTCCTGCCTCTGTGACAAGCTTGCTGCCTCCATTCTGGGTGACCAACTGAGAGCCAGTTTCAAACCACAGCTGCAAGTCAGGGTCAGATTCTTGGCCCTACTATCCTATTTATAACTCACTGTATGCTCAACTCAAGGGTTTTTCAACACCTGGACAGCAACTAAAGGGTCTTGACAACAGCACCATCTAGTGATTGGTGCAGCAAAACGTCTGTGTTTTTTTAAAATCACATCTTTATTTTACCCCCACAACCAAGGCACACATTCTTGGCCTCCCACTGTCCTGCTGCTCAAGTAACAGTTGTGGGGAATTCTATGTCAACTCTTCCTCTCATGCATTCTTTAACTCCCTTTACTCCTCCCCATTTATTCCACCTCTTCCCTAGTTTAAGAATCATTTATCTGACTCTTTCTCTTCCAAAAAAATGTGCTGAAGTTTGGAAGTAAATAAGTCCTTCCTTGAGGGGCAGGGATTCTTACACCCACTCACCTTTTCGTTCCCTAATGAGAACAATCCGTCGTTCTTTCACTTCTGAGCTCAGATTATCTACCATCTTATTAATGCAATTGTCCAGAACCAAAGAGTATGTTTTAGACTCAATGTTCTTCCGACAAATGGGGCATTCTATCTTCCGCTTCATCCATTCACTGATACAGTAGGAACAGAAACTGTGGGCACAGTTCAAGGTGACAGCCTACAATAGGAATGTGAACACACATATCAGAACCTTCATGGCTACTTTCTCAGGATGCTTGTGATCTCAAAGTTAGGACAGGAGCGAATGTCAAGGCCAAATGGAAAGTTAACCACAATCCCATGTCGAAGGCTTACAAATAGCATTAGAATCATTCTTAGGGTTGGGTCAGACACGATGGATCATGCCTGTAATCCTAGCACTTTGGAAGGCTGAGGTGGGTGGATCACCTGAGGTCAGGAGTTCGAGACCTGCCGGGGCAACATGGCAACACCTTGTCTCTACTAAAAATACGAAAATTAGCCGGTCATGGTGGTATACACCAGTAATCCCAGCTACTCAGATGGCTGAGGCACAAGATTCGCTTGAACCCAGGAGGTGGAGGTCACAGTGAGCCAAAATTATATCACTGCACTCTGGCCTGGGTGACAGAGGGAGACTCTTTCTCCAATCAATCAATCAATCAATCTATCTATCTATCTTAGGGTTGGGAAATTTTAAGCTTTATTTTAGACAATTACTTTCTTTTGTCAAAGTTAAGGTCACAGACTCAGGCTCCAGGCAGGCTGATTTATCTGTTTCAGTCGACCAACTCAGACCACGCTGCCAATGTGGGGACCACCTTGCAAACAAAATGTTACTGGACATGAGTAGGACTAGTAATTATTCCCTAATGAGAACAATTTGTGAATGCTTACACCTCTAATCCCAGCACTTGGGGGGCTGAAGCTGGTGGATTGCTTGAGCCCAGAAATTCGAGACCAGCCTGAGAGACATGGTGAAACCTCAGCTCTACAAGAAAAAAAAAAAACAAAAACAGCCAGGCATGGTGGCACAGTCTGTAGTCCCAGCTAGTCAGGAGGCTGGAGTGGCAAGATCACTTGAGCCTGTGACGTGGGGGCTGCAGTGAGCCATGATGGCGTCACTGCACTCTAGCCTGGGCGACACAGTGAGACCCTGTCTGGAAATAAAACAAAAACAAACAAATAAAGACAAACAATAAAAATTACAAGTATTTTCCACCAATCTGATGCTTTTATAAAACAATTTTTTTAAAAGAAAAACAAATTTATGTGCTTGCTAATTAACAAATGAAAGAGAATGCATACTAAATATTAGTATACAGAATTATATAAGATATCATCTCTAAAGAAACTAAAAAAGTAAAATAATATAGAAGGCAACCAAAAATGCTAAGCAAAAAAGAAACTAAAAAATGTAATGAATTTATTGACAGTGCCTGAACATCTAAGTAAATGGGCCAATAAAGAGAGAAAGCAAAAGGAAACCTGTATTTGAGGGACTCCTCTGAGTAGTCCCTCTGGTCAATTTCTGCCAGAGCCCTTTTCACTCCTAAAAATAAAACCTTTCTCTTTTTTACTCTTGTTTATGTACATCTCCTAAAACACAACTTTTTCTGAGGCTCAAAAGTCCTCATTCCTGCTTTTAGGATAACAGTGCAAAGTAACATGGATACTATGTATTTTTCAAACGTCAAGCTGAGCACAGAATCTAGGGAACACTGTGTTTATTATATGAGACAAGCTCTCATAAACAGTCCTGAAAACCCATCTGATAAAAATGAAACACCTGGCCAGGCTCACTGTAATCCCAGTACTTTGGGAGGCCCAGGCAGTCGGATCACCTGAGGTCAGGAGTTCAAGACCAGCCTGGCCAACATGGTGAAATCCCATCTCTACTAAAAATACAAAAAAATTAGCTAGGTGTGGTGGTGGGTGCCTGTACTCCCAGCTACTTGGGAGGTTGAGGCAGGATTGCTTGAACCTAGGAGGTGGAGGTTGCAGTGAGCAGAGATTGCGCCACTGCACTCCAGCCTAGGCGACACAGTGAGACTCTGTCTCAAAAATAAACAAATAAATAAGTAAAATAAAACATCTTTCTGAGACTGATTTTAAGAGGTGATCAGTAGAGTAGACAAGACAGTATTCTGTGAATAAAACACAGGTCAAATTGATTAAGTCTTATATGTCTCTGCAGATGCTCCCAGTTGGCTAACTCATCATTTATTTCAACCCCCTTTCCTTGTTTTCCTCTACTGGAGTCCATAAACCCTGTCAAACCAACCCTGAGTTTCTCCAAAGTAGGGAATCATTATGGGGGAAATTATGACCTAAAGTATAATCCAGAGCAAAAGAAACAGGTCTGCCCAGGAGAGATTTTTTTAAGAGGCTAACGGACCCAACCTCCCTAAAGATAGATCACCTGAGAAAAGAAAGCTGTGTGTATACATTTCCCTTTTTTTTTTTTTTTTTTTTTTTTGTTTTCCTTTTTTTTTTTTTTTCTCCCCTTTTTTTTTTTTTTTTATTTTTTTTTTTTTTGTATACATTTCCCTTTTTTTTTTTTTTTTTTTTTTTTGAGACAGAGTCTTGCTCTGTAACCCATGCTGGAGTGCGGCAGTGGTATGATCTCGGCTCATTGCAACCTCCGCCTCCTGGGTTCAAGCAATTCTCCTGCTTCAGCCTCCCGAGTAGCTGGGATTACAGGTGCACACCACCATGCCAGGCTAATTTTTATATTTTTAGTAGAGGCAGGGTTTTGCCATGTTTACCAGCCTGGTCCCAAACTCTTGACCTCAGGTGATCCACACACCTCAGCCTCCCAAAGTGCTCAGATTATAGGCATGAGCCATTGCACTCGACCTGCATTTTTCTTTTTATTTTTGTTTTCATTTTTCTCTGCCTTGCCCTGTCATCCAGGCTGGAGTACAGTGGTGTGATCTTGGCTCACTGTAGCCTCTGCATCCCGAATTGAAGTGATTCTTCTGCCTCAGCCTCCTGAGTAGCTGGGACTACAGGCACACACTACCACGGCCAGCTAATTTTTGTATTTTTAGTAGAGACAGGGTTTCACCATGTTGGCCAGGCTGGTCTCAAACTCTTGACCTCAAGTGATCCGCATGCCTTGGCCTCCCAAAGTGCTGAGATTACAGGTGTGAGCCACTGCACCCAGCCTTCTTTTTAAAGGAGTCTGAAAAGCACTGTCATTTAGCAACTTGACTTTAACACTTGTGGTCTAAGATGAACTGGTCACAAATGGCAGAATTTGTTAAATAAATAAATAAGCCAGTGCAAAAATTATGATAGGCTAACGAATGGTAGGAAGATGTTTCATTTCCATAAGGAGCCTCAGAGTCCCTGAAATATATTCAGCTTGGGCCTTGAATTCCCAAAGTGACCACATTTTAATGACGTTTACCCATTTAAAAGGCTGCACTATAAGCATATTCTCAGCATTGTGACCATTCAAAGTAAAGAATAGCTTTATTGAGCAGCTTTATTCTGATACTTCCAAAATCTAATTTGGCCCTTTTTCCCCCTCAACAACAAAGAGATGAAGGCTTCATTTGCAGCTAAAAATGTTAATCGTACCAAATAAACATTTAAGAATAGACGAAATACCAAAAAAGGACACTGAAAGGAAAGATTATAAAAACCAATAAGTAGTGGGCATCTCTAGAGGTCACTTTGAAATCAAATAGTTATAAGTTCCTGGAAGAAAAGCTCTTCAGAATGTTTCCCTATAGCAGAAGCAGCCTGTATAGTCCAGACTCCACTCAGGGTTGGAAGAATAAGAAGGGGTTGGCCAGGTGTGGTGGCTCATGCCTGTAATCCCAGCACTTTGGGAGGCCGAGGTGGGTAGATCACCTGAGCTCAGGTGTTCGAGACCAGCCTGGTCAACATGGTGAAACCCCATCTCTACTAAAAATACAAAAAATTAGCTGGGCATGGTGGCACGTGCCTGTAATCCCAGCTACTCAGGAGGCTGAGGCAGGAGAATTGCCTGAACCCAGGAGGCGGAGGTTGCGGTGAGCCGAGATCGCGCCATTGCACTCCAGTCTGGGTAACAACAGCGAAACTCCATCCCCAAAAAAAAAAAGGAAAAAAGAAGGGGTGAGCAACCGTTCATAATTACCTCAACGAAGTATTCTGAACAAATAATACATTGGAGCTCATTCTCTAGCACATCATTCATGTGGCTGAGAACTTCTTCCTTCTGTGCTTGCATCTTCTCCTTCTCTTCCTGTAAGAAACATACCACCACCTGTCATTCAGCAAACCAACAAAAATGCAAAATGGGACAGGGAGCAGGGTTAATTTTCTAAAATAGGATTCAGTCTTAATTAATGATTCATTCTCGTGCAGCAACATGAGAATAAAACACTTTCCCTAAGGGTTGCTGTTTCTCAGTACTTGTTTTCTAAAACAGAGCACTAACCTCCTTTATTTTCCCTCCCTACTTGCTATGGTCTGAATGTTTTGTGTTTCCCCCCAAATTCCCATGCTGAAACTTAATTTCAAATGTAATGGTATTAAGAGGTGGGCCTTTGGGAGCTGACTAGGCCATGAGGGCTCCATGCTTATAAATGGGGGTAGTGGCCTTTATAAAACGGGCCCAAGGAGAGCTTGTTTGCCCCTTCCACCATGTAGGGACACAGCAAGACTCCAGTCAGAAGACAGCCCTCACTGACACCAAATATGCCAGCACCCTGATCTTGGATTTCCCAACCTCCAGTACGGTGAGAAATAAATTTCTGTTGTTTTTAAGCTATGCAGTTCAAGGTTTTTTTTTCCACAGTAAACTGAATGGACTAAAACACCACTTTTTCAGTATTTGCATTGTAGTTTCTGTCTCCTTCTCCAAAAGTAATCAAATGAGAAAAAATGTAGGTGGCATACTAACCACACCAACCACTCAAGACCAGATGGAATATTAAGTAGTCTATAGAAAGCTGTAGTTCAGATGTTACATAAAATCATCCTAAACAATTAAAAACTCACTGGACAAGAAAAGAGACATGAATAGTCCAGAGAGGCAGGAAACGTGAATTAGTTATAAAGTTGCTGTGTTCTTTCCAGCTGTCTCTTCTATAAAGTAAGGTATACCTCTGGAGGCAGAAAACTGGAGACAGGGCCTCTTGAACTACCTTCAGGCTCCATGCTCCATGATACCTGCCACTTCCCACTCCTGCAGAGGCCTGTAGTACCATCTCCCTGTTTTCTCCAAGAGGTCAGACTACATGTGACACACTTTTTAAGTAGGATCCTAGATATGCTCTCTTGAAGCAGACATTTATTTTAGTACTTCATCCCCAAAAGAGAAAGCATTAAGAGTCCCGGAGGGGGAGTGGAAAGACCATTTGGGCATTTATGAGTGGCTGGCTAATTTTTCATCTTCTTATTTTCTTTTCCACTCAAAGCAAAGACTGGCAGACTGCTTAGGGTAGTGAAAAAGGTCTGGAGTCATTTCTAACTATAGTCAAATTCCCTGAGAACTTATGAATCACTGGGTTTAAAAAGATGTGGTAGTTTCTTGGAGGTTGGAGAAGAAGGTATTAGGTGATTTAAAGAGGAAATCAAACCAACTAAAACAAGTCCCTCCTTCAGCTCTAGGTCTGTACATGGAGCGGGTAGGATGAGAGATTAGTCAGACTCAGGTGTTAACTTCAAGTCAGAGGTTGCAAATTGGTGGCCTGTGGACTGGATCCACCCTGCAGACTTGTTTAGTTTGGCCTTCATATTAAACACACACACACACACACACACACACACACACACACACAGCTGAAGTTGTACCAATATTTAAAAATTAAGATCTTTCACTTAAACATTTGGATTTTCGTCTGCTGTGGAAAAATCAGAAGATCTGACAACACTGGGCCTGCACTTCTGGATGGCAACAATCGGCTGAGAGAGAAGAGTGGCCTCCTGGGACGGGAGCGGGTGCAAGTACCCCTATCCAGTAAGCCATAGGCTGCTCAGCTCCCCACTGTGTTCTTACATTCAGGCCACTTCACTCACTTTTATTACCAGTCTGGCCCTGGTAAGCACTTAAGTTTATAACCCCTAATTCAAGAGTTCTACTTATTTGACATGGGAAGGAACTGCATTAAGTAATTCACTTCAGTTTATGTAATTCAAATTATTTCTTGACTACAATATCCCTCAGTTTGTATCAGCGACACACCTTGAAGGAGTATTCACCATGGACAAAGGACTAGAATGCAGGATGCAAGTGCCTTATTCCCAGCATTTTGCTTCTGAACAAGGGGAAGAAATAGATGTTGTCTTACAGGCAGAACCTTCTGTAGGCCTTAATAATTTTATAGATTATTTTCCCAGAGGCAAGGGGCAGTCATAATCTCTCTCTTCATTTACCATAGCAACCCTTGCACTGTTGAAAATGCTGAGTTGCATGCACTAACCAAATTCTAAACCTCCCATCTTCTTTCCAGTACCTTGGTCTGCTCCAATTCTTTGTTCTTGGCTTGAATGATTGCTTCAAAATCCTTCTTGCTGCGATTTAGCTCTTCCATTAGAGCCCGATGCTGCAAAAACATAGCAGATACATACTCAGGATGAACTACACGGCATCATTCTTTTAAGCCACAAACATGCCTGTTCTCTCCCTCTAGTTAGTGACTTTGGTTCAGGGATGGATAAATTGGCAATTTCAAAATAATGCCTTTATTCCATCAGGCTATCTTACCTACCTGCTGCTTTTTTCAGGGGAAACGGCAGTTACAGAAGGCGGCCACCAAATGTACTAGGGCCTCTGAAATTAACCCAACACTGGTGGCCATCCAAGTCAACTGAAGAACTTTCACTGCGTCCCTGAGTCTGCTTCTGTAGGTTTGGCTTGGGGCCCAGAAATGCGCTTTTTTTTTTTAAAGCCACCCAAATGATTCTGGGAACCACTATTTAAGAACTAGTAAGTAATTACAAGCTATTCAGAACTAGAAGTGGCTTTTATGAAATAATCAGGGGGAAATGGGAATCAGAGAAATTAGACAGTCATTTTCATTGAAATAAAAAAGATCTTCAACCTATTTATTCTACAAATCATACACTACATATGCTCATAAGACAATGCTGCCTGAACCCTGCCAGTGTCTTCTGGAGAAGGCACACCTCGGAGCTAACCGCTCATTCACTGTGACTAAATGCCTATGCTGAATGTTAAGAGGTTCCGCATCTATGAAATATAATTTATGAGTACCCTCATGCTTAAGTATAGCTCTTATTTTAGAATCTTGCCTCAAATTCTTTTTAAAAGAAGGTAGAATAAATATTTTTGAAAAGAAATATTTTGAAATTCAATAACCAAATTTTAAAATGTGTAATCTTCTGTGGGAAAAAAAAAAAGCAGTTATATTAGAAAGCCTGGGTCTTCAGCTTGACTCTCTAATTAGATATGTATATTTTAACTTTCTCATCTATAAAATGGGAAAATATGGCTGGTTGTGATGGCTCACACCTGTAATCCTAGCACTTTAAGAGGCCAAGGCAGGTGGATCACTTGAGCTCAGGAGTTTGAGACCAGCCTGGGCAAGATGGTGAAACTCCAGCTCTACAAAAAATACAAAAAATTTGCTGGGCATGGCGGTGCGCACCTGTGGTTCCAGCTACCCGGGAGACTGAAGTGGGAGGATCACCGGAGCGTGGGAGGTGGAGACTGCATTGAGCTGAGATTGCACAACTGCACTACAGCCTGGGTGACAGAACGAGACACTGTCTCAAAATAAAAATAAAAATAAACTGGGAAAATAGGTGTCCCCTCCTACCTCAGCATTGATAAGAAAGTAACAGGTTGGGTGCAGTGGCAGGTGGATCACCTGAGGTCGCGAGTTCAAGACCAGCCTGACCAACATGGAGAAAACCCATCTCTATTAAAAATACAAAATTAGCCAGGCGTGGTAGCGCAAGCCTGTAATCCCAGCTACTTGGTAGGCGAGGCTGAGGCAGGAGAATCGTTTGAACCCAGGAGGCGGAGGTTGCAGTGAGCTGAGATTGTGACATTGAACTCCAGCCTGGGCAAGAGGAGCACAACTCCACCTTGCAATATAAATAAACAAATAAAACAAAGCAAAATAACAGGTATGAAAAGCATTCAGAGAAGTTTTTTGAGCTGTATATAAATGCAAGTTTTTACAATGGTCTGGTAAAGAACAGCTTTCAAAGAGACCAGCATGGTAGAACAAAAAACCACCATTCCTTCACCTGAGAGTGGCATGATGGTATAGAACCATGACCTAAGAGTATCACATCTTAAGCGTGGACAAGTATCCCATGCTAAATGATAGTGTGTTTTCCTGTCTCAGGAGAGGGTGCAGGGCAATCAGTGATGCCTCAGGGATTTCCAACTAGCAGAGCCATATCCTTTTTCAGTCTCAAAACAATGTCTGAATATTAACTTAATAATGCTCCAAAGGGGAAGCACACCTATTCTCCCACCCTAGAAAATAAGCTCAAAAAATAAAATTCTAAAAAGATTGAATTAATTTTCATCTAATTCTTTCCAAAGCTGTTTGTGCAACCCTCAAGGAGATCAAGGCAAGCACCTTGTCATAATACTATATGACTGTTAGCACTGTAAGATTGGGAGGTAGGTTTACAGTAAAAGAATGTAAGGATAAATTCCTCTGAACAAATTCAAATGAAATTTGCTCACTTTCCCCAATGAGATGAACCATCCTGACTAAATGTGCACTAAATTACCAATCATAATACATTAAAGGTAGAAGACAAAGCAGGTTTTAAAGATGTAAAAGCACAGAAAAAAACAACCAAATGAGAGTAGTCAGGTTAAATTAAATAAATTACAGGCAATATTTTAGGAGAATTTTAGTACTGTTGAGCTTTACCTTTTCAATAAATTGATATGTTTTGTTGACTGTTAAACTACACATTCTCAACCTGGCCTAAAATGCTTAACCGGTATGTTCTCGAATTGCTTCTGGTTGACCACAGCTTAGGGACAGTGCGGTAACAGAGGCCTTCACGGGCCCTGGTGGCCAAGTCATAGCTCACATTTTCCCTCTGCTGCCCTCGCCTTTCTGGAAGTGGAGCCACTTCCTCAGAGAGCCTCCTAACTGCTAAAGCTCCATCCCATCTTCACCAGAGCAACTTCTGTTCAGATGAAGATGTTAAGTTTTCATGCTTGTCTGGCATGTCTGTAAGGCTCCAAATCTCTGACCTGATGGTGTGAGCAGCTGCCACCTGCTCTGTTTGCAGACTGGAGATGCCATGGAGGTATGGGCTCAGCAGCAGAGGCAGCCAGTGGTCATGTGATGCCTGGCTGCTCCCCACTCCACAGCCCACCATAATCTTAGTACTATAGCAAAGTTACCTCCTGCAGAGCCTGGGCCAGCTGTTCCTTCAGGTCCTCTTCTCCTTGCACTATCTCCAAATCCTGCAAAGCCAAAACAAAATGGAAAGTTTCTCTGCAGGGAAAACAAAAAAGAAACACAATCCAGCAACAAGCAGAGCAGACCAGTTAGTGTGAGCATCTGGAAGCAACGGGGGTGAGGGGGCAGGTAGAAAATCTACTGTTTCACTTCAAGCTGTTGGTAGCAAAGAATTTGAGCAGAGTTATCTGCTCAAATACTGCACACCTCAGGACTGTGAGCTTTAAGTCACCACTTCGGCTGTTCTGGAACTACTATGGCCTAATAGTCCAAGCCTCCTTCACAGACTAATGTCATGATTCCCAAAATGATGTAAACTGAACACTTCTGAGTCCCCAAATACCTAAACTCAGATGTAATCCTCAATGCTGGCACTAACAACATCTAGCATGCTTCTTTTCCCTCTATTCTGGCCACGCTGTCTCATCCCGAGTCCTTACCACTTCAGTTTATACACTGCTCCTCCTCTCTCCTTGCCTGAACTGATGCTATATTTCCTCGTCAGCACCCTCCAGTTGGGAAGCTTTCCAGGTTATCATTAACCTATATGTCTAGCACCTTCCAAAAGAACTTTTGGGCTCTTCTGTCCTTAAGAACTACCTACCCATTTAACATGCCAACTTGAAATTGTTCTCTAGTTTACTATATTGACTGAAAACTCTCTGATTTCATTATGTGAGTGATACATCTTGCCTCTTCAACAAGATAAATTCCTTAATGGCAAAAACCATTTGTTAAGCATCTTTTTTTTTTTTTTTTTTTAAAAGAGTTTCCACTCTTGTTACCCAGACTGGAGTGCAATGGTGCAATCTCGGCTCACCGCAACCCTTGCCTACTGGGTTCAAGCAATTCTCCTGCCTCAACCTCCCGAGTAGCTGGGACTACAGGTATGCGCCACCATGCCCAGCTAATTTTTTTTTTGTATTTTTAGTAGAGATCCATCTTTATAACCACCAGAACTCCCTAGTACCAGGCAATTTGAGTACTTAAAAAAAAAAAGTGTGGAGGATCCAAGATGGCCGATTAAGAGGAGCTCAGGATTGCAGCTGCCAGCCGAAGCGCGGAGGGTGAGTGGACACTGCATTTACAGATGGATTTTTATTGTTCACAGACCAGGAGATTCCCAGGCGGAGGAGCCCCATGGGTCGCAAACCCAGCTGTTTGGGCTGGCGCCCTGGTGAGGCGGGTCTCTGCACAAAATACACGGTTCCAGGTGCCATTTTAGCTGGTGATTGGAGCTCCTGGTAGACAGAGTCACCCATTCAACTGATTAAAAAAGGGGACTAAAACAGGGAGCCAGGCCAGGAGATTTCCGGAAAAAAAAGAGCCACAAATCTCAGCACGGCTGTTTCAGCCAGCAGTGGGTCACTGCACGGCAATCACACAGATCCTGGTGCCTTTTCAACAGGCAACTGGAACACCTTGGAGACAGAGTCACCCATTCAACTGATAAAAAAAAAAAAAAAAAAAAAAAAAAAAAAAAAAAAAAGAGGGTCTGAGGCAGGGAGCCAGGTGATTAGGCTCTGCTGGTCCAACCCCCACAAAAAAACAGCAATCTGAAATGCTCTGGATTGAGAGTTTCACAGCAAGCACAGCTGAACCCAGGACAGTCCAGCTCTGTGGGGGAGGGGCATCCACCATTACAGAAAGAGTCCACCATTACAGAGGTGGGCCGCCATTGCCGAGACAGTTCTAACTATGCCTGTATAAACAGGACTGCAGGGAAGTTCACAAGGCAACTGGGTGGAGCCCACAGCAGCTCAGCAAAGCCTCTGTAGGCAGACAGTGACTAGGCTGCCTCGCTGGGCAGGGCAGCCCTGAAAAAAGGCAGTAGCATAACAGAAATTTATAAATAAAGCCCTAAGTCCTCACGACAGAGCACCTGGGGGAAAAAAAAGGGGGTTTATGAGTTCTGCCACAGCAGACTTAAACGTACCTGCCCAGCAGCTCTGAATGAACAACGGAGCTCACAGCTCAGCACTTGAGCTCCTAAAAGGACAAACTGTCTCTTCAAGCAGCTCCATGACACCCGTATATCCAAAGAGTCACCTCATAAAGGAGAGCTCAGACTGACATCGGGCGGGTACCCTTCTAGGACAAAGATAGCAGAAGAAGAAACTGGCAGCAACCCTTACTGTTCTGCAGCTGCTGCAGGCGATCCCCAGACAAGCAGGGCCTGGAGTGGACCTCAGCAGTCCTACAGCAGAGGGGCCTGAATGTTAGAAGAAAAACTAAGAAACAGAAAGAAATAACTTCATCATCAACAAACTGGACATCCACTCAGAGACCCAATCTGAAAGCCAACAACTACAAAGACGACGGGTGGATAAATCCATAAAGATGGGAAGAAACCAGCGCAAAAAGGATGAAAACACCCGAAACCAGAACACCTCTCCTCCTACAAGGGATCACAACTCATCACCAGAAAGGGAATCAGGCTGGATGGAGAATGAGTATGATGAATTGACAGAAACAGGCTTCAGAAAGTGGGTAATAAGAAGCTTTGCTGAGCTAAAAGAACATGTTCTAACCCAATGCAAAGAAACTAAGAACCTTGAAAAAAGATTTGACGAAATGCTAACGAGAATAAACAACTTAAGAGAGGAATATAAGTGAATTGATGGAGCTGAAAAACACAACACAAGAACTT